CAAGACCTCTGAATAGCTAAATTATAAGTAACATTCTTTTTTGGGTTGGAACTTGTGCACAACACAGTTTGAGAGTCTTGTGCTTTTCGATTTGCACTTCTAGAGCAGCTTTTATGCTAGCGGCGTGCGCTTGTAGGAATTTGCACATGACTTTATGCAGGGACCAGGTCAGTCTGGATTTATAAGTACACTCTCATAGAGCTGGAGAAGATGGGATGCCCTTAGTGTGAGTTGACCTCAGGGCCAGGTTGGGTGGGGCTTTGAGCAACCTGGTCTAGTGGAAAATGTCCCTGCCCATGGCAGGGGGGGTGGAACTAGATGAGCTGTAAGGTCCCTTCCAACCCAGACAGTTCTGTGATTCTGTGATGACTGTAGGCTTTGAAGAAGTTTTGAAACAGCCCATGGGTTTAGATGGGACCTGCTTCTGAGAAACCTTTCCAGAGACAGTCCCCACTGCAGGAGTACTGTAGCACCAAAAAATATCCCTTGCTGGTCAGAGAGCTTAAACAAAAATATTCTCTTCAAATAACAAGTCTTTTGTCTGCCTCTCCTTAATTCTCCTCCCATCTTGCACACAGGCGCTAATGACAGATGAAACAATATCCAACGTGCCAATCCTTATCTTGGGTAACAAAATCGACAGACCAGAGGCCATCAGTGAGGAGAAGCTGCGGGAGATCTTTGGGCTCTACGGACAGACCACAGGAAAGGTAGGGAGGGATCCCAATACTGGATTGTCTGCAAGCAAGTGTGTGTTAACTTGCAGAATGAGGCTCAGCCCAGAAACTAGTTGAGCTGTTACTGTGAATTTGTCCACAGTATCAACCCCATCTGAATCAACAATAATAATAGTAATAATAATAATACCACCACCACCCTTGGGCAAGTTTTGAAACTGACGGACGTGTTCAAAACATAGTACCTCTGCAGCAGTCAGGGGTTTAGGTGTCAAGCTGGTATGTCAACATGTTGTCTGGCTATTCTGGCTTCACTGCTCTACATTTCCATCCGGTTACCCATCTGATCACTTTTTCAGTGTTTCCAAACAGTACAGTTAGAATTAATTGGGAATGCTGGTAGTGGTGGCAGTAAAACACCACAAGAAAACACTAGCACTCTCGGTGCTGGCTGGTCTATGCAGTGACGATTGCTTTTTGTATTACACTGCCAGACATCACAGGTACATCACACTGTGCCTCAAAACCCACTTGCTTCAGTGTTTCTAACACTCATGCTCCCACGCTGCTGGCTTTGAAAGTCTGGTGGGTCCCTCTTGCAAAGGGTCCCTCTGGTGTGGTAGAGAGGGGAAATTCCCTGGGCAGAAACAGGTTTCCCTAGAGGGTAGTGACTCCTCCCTGAGGGCGGCAGGGGCGTGGTTCTGACTTGCCTTTGGATTTCCTCAGGGAAATGTGCCACTGAAAGACCTGAATGCACGCCCCATGGAGGTGTTCATGTGCAGCGTGCTGAAGAGGCAAGGCTACGGCGAGGGCTTCCGCTGGCTATCGCAGTACATTGACTGATACTTGGATGGACACAAGAGTTTTACTCCTCTGGACTGATCCTGTTCACAGCTTCCTATGGACTTTTCTATTTAGAACACGGAAGGTTTTCCAACCGCATACTGGCGTTGACCAAGAGACTCCTGGTTTTCGGCTGCCCTGTCGCACAGTGGTGACACAACTCTTTTCCACGTGACGGGGAGGCAGCACCATTCTGCACGCGGGTGCGAGTCATCCCCTTCAGTTCGGTTACAGCGGGGCTGGTGTGATGTGGGAAGTCAAACTCTGCACGCTGCACTGTAACAGCTGAGAAAGAGAGCACGTCTCACCACTGTGGTTAATTGACTTAAAGGAAGAAAAAGCAATTATATTTTTTAAAGAAAGTGTTAATGTAAACAGCGTCCCTTCTGACTTTTTAGTTTAACGTTCATCTTGTTTAGTCCAGAGTCTGGTTAGGGTTTTTTAAAAATATATTTAACGATATTTAGGTATTTCACAAATTACTGAACCAAGGTATCACGATATTAGAAGTCCTTAATAAACATAGCATTTGGGCTTAACCGAGCTGTAGGGTGGCTGTGCTGTGTCACACTGACTGACGACAGCGGGGCTGACGTGTGCAATCCGAGCTTCTTTAGTTTACAGGGATATGTTTTAGGTGGAGGGGAGCCCCCGTGAGCACACCTGGTTTAGTGTGTGCAGCCGGCCACCGGCGCTTGCTTCTGGTGGGACACTGGGCTCAACCCCATCGCGCTGCCGGCTCCTGCTGTGGCTGGGCTAGGCTCCAGGCTTGGCCCTTCCTGCACAGGGCAGCGAATCCTCTCGCCTTGGCATCACAGGAAGAACCTTAAAGCTGTTTTGGTGGTTGTAGCATGGAAGTGTTTGACATTTGCATATCATGAGGTTATTAATGTAGACTAAAGCGGTTTCTTTTATACTCAACAGATTTTTTGTCTGAAGTTTCATTACTGTCTAGCACTCATTTTCAGTTAAATAAAGACATGTCTTTCTCCTCCAAAGGGGTAGTGCTCCTCAGTCTAACCTGGTGTTGGCTGCACGTGTGTGCCTGGTGCAGCTGTCAGTGAGGGGAAAACAAAATGCAAATGTACAGAACAAACTCACTGTCACCAAGTCCTCCTCCTGAGACTGGTAGCAATGAGTGCTTGATGTGGATCTGTACACTCAGCCCAGGCTTGAAGCCACCCTTCTCCCTGGAGCAGCAGCAAGTGCTTGAGGTGCTGCCTTAGCAGGGGAAGCAGCTTCAGGACAGATCCACACCATGGCAGAGGAGAGCCCATACAAAAACAAAGTGTGCACAGACCTGTCAAAGCACCGCTTTGGGGAAATGTGAAGGCAGGAGGGCTGCTGGTGAGGGAATCTGAGGCGGAGGGCTTGCTGGCCTCCGGGCTGGTAATCGGCAAAGCTGGTGGCCTGCAGGAGCGAGCAGGGGTCTTATTCTCAGTGTAATAGCCCCGCACAGAGGCCTGTGGTGGCATTTACTTCCAGGATTCTCAGAGTTTTAGCTCTTAAAAGGGATTCCGCAGGTACTGGTACCTCTTTTGCCGGAGAAGGCGGAGCGTCGGTGCTCCCATGTGTTGTGGACGAGCAAGCCCACAGCGCTGACGCTTCTTCACCCCGAAGCTCGAGTGCCAGGCACTCAGCTTACGGACGAGGGGGGAGGCGTGTTGTGCAAACAAGCTTCCTGCTCCTCGGGAGAGCGGGGAGCGAACGCTGCCGTGAAGCAAGCGGGGCTGGACCCGGCAGCGCGCCGGGGGCAGAGGGAAGGACGCCAGTACCGGGCCTGGGACCGACCGGTCGCACGGGGACACATAAGCGGGCAGGGGGCGGGGGCAGAGGCGTGGCCCAGGGCCGAGAGGGACCGGCC